GAATTCTAGAAAGAATAGCAAGATCAGAGACTCTGGGGCGGGACATTTCCATGGAACCCCCCCCCCCACCTTTGTAACCTAGAGGCCAGCATAGCTAAGTGATTGAGCAGCATCCCTGTAGGAGACAAAGTCGGCTTTGGTTTTTCTGACACTGACTATAGTGATAATAGGATCATTCCTAGTTCTTTCTAGTGTTCAAAAACTTTCATATATGATTTCCATAACAACTCATCATAAGCTCACTGAAGTTAAATTACTTAGCTAAGTAATACAATTAGCAAATACAGGGGATTAGAATTTAACTGAAGTCCTGTTTTCAGCGCTTTTCATAATACTGTACCACAAAGATTAGTCATTATAAAACATTCAACCTTTTTTTTTAAACATCACCAGTTCCCTCACAGAACTCTATTTTTATACAAACAGACCTTTCTGAACTCTGTGCTATGATTTGAAGCATCCAATTATTATTCCCTTTCTCTATAGTTAATTCTAATAGATTTTTAAAATCCTCTATTGTTATAACTTTGGTGTCTCTCACAAACTCATTTATATCTATTTTCTCATTTTAATGGGTCTTTAAAATATTATCTATTTTATCACAACACATTTTTAAAAAGTGGCATTGAGCTAACCCAAATCGTGTCATTGTTAGAAAAATGAATAAAACTCTCACAGAAAGCACTTCCTTAGTGTATGTTCTGGGTATTCATCAGGTTTTCCTATGAATTCTTTCAGCTGGAGATGGAAAAGCTTCAGCTACAAGCCCTGGAGCAGGAGCACAAGAAGCTGGCTGCGCGCCTGGAGGAGGAGCGCGGCAAGAACAAGCACGTGGTGCTGATGCTCGTGAAGGAGTGCAAACAGCTCTCCAGCAAAGTCATCGAGGAGGCTCAGAAGCTAGAAGAAGTAATGTCCAAACTGGAAGAGGAAAAGAAAAGGACCAATGAGTTAGAACAGGAACTCTCTGCTGAGAAACGAAGAAGCACAGAAATGGAAGCTCAGATGGAAAAACAACTCTCTGAGTTTGACACAGAGCGGGAACAGCTTCGTGCCAAGCTACACCGAGAAGAAGCACACACCACTGACCTCAAAGAGGAGATAGACAAGATGAAGAAAATGATTGAGCAACTGAAAAGAGGAAGTGACAGCAAACCAAGCCTCTCTCTCCCACGGAAGACAAAAGATAGGCGATTGGTTTCCATATCTGTGGGAACAGAGAAACCTATGACAAGGTCTGTCGCTTGCCAGACGGACCTAGTGATAGACAGCACTGACCATGTGAAGAAGTTGCCTTTGACTGTACCTGTAAAGCCTTCCCCGGGGAGCCCCCTAGTCTCTGCAAATGCAAAAGGGAATGTGAGCACCAATGCAGCATTGGTCAGACCAGGTATTGACAGGCAGGCTTCCCATGGTGACTTGATCAGCCCCTCTCTACCCACTGTCCCGCCACCAAGTACGAACAGAATCGAGGAAAATGGACCAAGCACTGGCTCAACACCAGATCTCACAAGTAGCACACCCCCACTTCCTAGTAATGCAGCCCCTCCTGCTGTCCAGACACCAGGCATCGCTCCCCAGAACCCCTCGCCAGCCCCACCTGTGCACAGTTTACATTCACCATGTGCCAATGCATCTTTGCATCCAGGTCTAAATCCACGAGTCCAAGCAGCTAGGTTTAGATTTCAGGGCAATGCTAATGACCCTGACCAAAATGGAAATACGACCCAAAGTCCTCCATCAAGAGATGTGTCTCCTACAAGTCGTGACAACCTAGTGGCCAAACAACTAGCTCGGAATACTGTGACCCAAGCACTGTCAAGATTTACAAGCCCTCAAGCTGGTGCTCCGCCCAGGCCTGGAGGACCCTCCACAGGAGATGGTGGTACTCATCCTCCAGTTGGTCGGGCCAGTTTAAAGACTCCCGGTGCAGCAAGAGTTGACAGAGGAAATCCTCCTCCTATCCCTCCAAAAAAACCAGGGCTCTCCCAGACTCCTTCTCCACCACACCCTCAGCTCAAGGTTATTATGGATAGCAGCAGGGCCTCCAGTGCAGGCGCCAAAGTTGATAACAAAACTGTGGCTTCACCGCCTTCCAGTTTGCCACAAGGGAACAGGGTAATAAATGAGGAGAACCTCCCTAAATCATCCTCCCCTCAGCTGCCACCAAAACCATCCATAGATTTAACTGTGGCACCTGCAGGCTGTGCCGTTTCAGCCCTGGCCACGTCTCAGGTGGGTGCCTGGCCTGCTGAAACCCCTGGACTGAACCAACCTGCATGTTCAGACAGTTCCCTTGTCATTCCTACCACCATTGCCTTTCGCTCTTCCATAAACCCTGTTAGTGCCTCATCCTGTAGACCAGGAGCCTCAGACAGCCTCCTGGTAACAGCATCAGGTAAAGGGATTGAAATATTATACCATTTTTAAAGAATGTGGCCTGTCCTCTCACTCACCTTAATTTCCTTCACATTGCCTTGAAACTTTTTTTATATTTTAATTTGATACTTGCCCCCCTTCTTTTCTCTCTCTTTTTCGTATTTTTTCTTTAAAGACTCTAGGGTATGGTAATTCATCTTGCTATATGAATTGTGGTTTTGTTATGCAAAGTGCTTTCTTCTCTTAAGATAACCTGAAAATAGTGGTTTGAAGCACATGGAGACCATTAATTTAGAGAGACTAAAACATTTTCATGGGAGGAAAGAGTATTTCTTCTTATGAAATATTTATCTCACAAGACCTCAATATTTGATGGGTTAGCATCAGACAGTGTGTATTCAGTTCTATCCTTTCTGAGATGACATAAAAACATCCTTTCAAGTAATCCTTAACACGACCCTGCATTAGATTTGTTCTGTAATCGGTATATTTGAGGTTTTAATAATTTGATATTAAGGTTTTTTTTTTAATTCTCAAAACTAAAGTGGTATTTGTAAATCTCAGCTCAGAATTAGTTTCTTTCAAAAGCCACTTATTCTGTGTAGGAGCTGTTGTCTTCCAACAATTGAGCACAGATGGATAACCTAGTGTGGAGGGTTGTATTAGAGAAAGTTTCCATTGCAGCTGTGGTTTATGAAGTGACTGAATTTGGGACTCTGGAACAAAGAAGAACTGGATTTTCCCCTGTTGTCATTCAGTGCTAGGAGAAGCATCACTTTTTTTTGGCATGACTAGACTAGAGACTCGCTGAGCAGATGTGACTCTACAGTGATGTCATGGTGTCAAAAAGTTTTCTTGAGGCATTGGGGAAGTCTCTCCTACCCATGGTCTCTTAATGCTTGGCAGAAACTGTTCTAATGGGAGGAAATTTTAAGAATTAAAGGTAATTTGGATAGTGATGTATTTAAAACTTGGAGAAAGAGTTGGAATGAAAACAACAGCAGTACACTTGCTAGTCGTTAATCAATGAAAGCAGTATATCAGTACTTGTCCAATGATAAGCCATTTCTTTGACATTATGGTTTTTGAGAGGCTGTCTCCATATTTCGAGGGGCAAAATTGGAAATTAAATGTGCATTAGAGGGACCAGAAGTTAGCGTAATGGCTATGTCACTGGACTCCCACATAGTCAACCGCGGTTCAAGTCCTGGACTGAGTGGCTTAAACTCATGCCAGGCACGTGTGCGTGCATGCCCAAGATCCCGAGAGGAGAACGGAGGAGAAGGGATTGCAGCGTGACCATCCCCCCTGGGGGGTGATTTCTCACTTTCTGTCTCTGTCTATCTGGCGAGCACACGCGCCCTATAGCAAAAACCTCTTCAAAAAAAAAAAAGAAAAGAAAAAAATGTGCATTAGAATATAGGTTCTTCCAGTTACAACTGTGTATTTTTAGTGATTTTTCTTGTATGGAGCAAGCTATCTTCTCCCAAATATGGAGTTTACACTACTAAGATGGAGGAGAGTGTCTGTTAGGAGGATCCAATAGCATAAGGTATCAGAGACCATGATATTGAGCTCAGAATAGCATGAGTGGCTAACAAGTAGAGGAGATATGATTTCAGGGAAATTGTTGCTTAACATATTTTTAAACTTTGCTTTAGAATTGACTTCAGTATTTTGTGATGTCTTCACAAGCATGGAGCATTCCATATTTTTTATCCCAGTATTACTGAATTAGACAGCCCTTCTCATGGTCTAAAATAATTTTAGCTGTTTTCTACAAAGTAAAGCCACCCTTGGAAGAGGAATCGTTGCTGCCATTCAGGAGACTCAGAGAATGTGCTGTAGGATCCTTAGGTAGTCACAAAATAGAAGTTCCAAAAATGTCTGTCGTGGCAGTACTGTTGACGTAAATGCATAGGTTGTAAAATAGAAAACGTTGCCCAGAACATATAAATTTTGTCCGTTTTTTAAAGATAACAAAGTCATCTTTGCTTTTATACCTTGAGGACTTACCAGTTGTTGCCTTCATCATTACTGCGGTCAAGAGTTCAGCTACCAGTGCCCTTTGATTTCAGCAAAGAAGATGTAAAACCAGGATCCATGACTGAGAATCCTTCTGTCAGTAGGATTTTAAGTTAACTTTTAAAGATAGAGAAATTCTAATGCATTATATATTCACCAGAATACCCTGCCTAGGATAGTGAAATTTTGGATAAAGGAGACATAACTTCTCTAAGATTTGTTTTTTGCTTGTGTCTAGGGAGCAAAAGCGAGTATATGTTGTAAGACTGGAAATATGTAACAGCCACTGAAGATTCATCGAACTGTTTCCTCATCTTCTGTTCTTTGAGTTTACAATTTGGCCAACATATTTCCAGAACTGCGGGATCACCATTGGTGGATAATAAGTTCTATGTCATTCGATTATAAGGTGTTGTTTATGAGGGGTGAATAGAGGCACTGGAGGTCTTTAGTCTTTTAGCAAGAGTTTTCTGAATTCCTTGTCCAATAGGGGAATGAAAATGGTATGGCACTTGCATAATGGGGCTGCATAACTGAGTAGCTCAGCTGTGGATGTAGGTTAGTGTGAACTTTCCAAATGAGATACACAATTTCAACTGTTTTCCATCTTGATTGCCCTATTTTTGTCACCAAGCCATTGCAACTAGGACTCACCAGAGTTCCTTCCATCCTGCCTTTTAACCTGTCTGTGCCCGAGTAAGCTTGTTGTGCCTCTTCAAATCTTCACCCCACTGAGGTTATTAGCCTTCCAAACAGCCACTCACTAATGCCAAGTGGTTGCTTAGAGCAGGGTATAGGGACAGAGCACATCTGTTTAATACCTGGCTATTGTCTGTTCCTATTTTAGTGATCGAACGAGCACCAAACTGGGCAAGAAGACAGGTTTAGTCCAGTTCTAGCCCTCTCTAGGTATCACCCTAGAGAGCAAATTCTCTCTGAGCCATTAGCTTTTCTGCCTAAAAACAACAACATAAAACCAAAAAAAAAAAAATGTTTTCAAACAAAGGAGTTTTTAACCTGATGAATTTTCAAACTCCATACTACCTTTCCCTCTTTGGAGAACTTAGGTCCCACAATCTTTTAGACTTCAAAATCCTTAGTTTCCATGTCAACTACTATGACAAAGCACCAAGAATTGGAATGACAAAAGTTGCCATTTTAATGAATTGTGTCTAAACCACCCCTAACTTTACTCATAACTGATGGCCAAATGTTAAATTTTTAAATAACATTTTAAATTCTAATCATAGTTAGTATTTCTTATTCTTCCTGAACTTGTCAAATAAATGCATTTCAATTATTAAATGAACAGCAATCTAAACCAGAAATCACCCCAGGCAACTGAGTTTCCATACCCTTGGGAATTTTTAATATTTTTTTTCTTTTGAGACATTTTATTTAATTTGGTTCAAACTTTTTTCTTCAGTTAAACATATATTTGTAAAAGTATTCTCCAACTGTGATTGGCTTAAAGGCTAAATCTGAAAACATGAATGATCTGGGCTATGATATTAACCTTTTTCACCCTCTGAAGCTGATGCCAGAAGCTGTTCTCAGCTCTTCCTCCCTGTGCCATTGCATGTTCTGTCTGTTCCCTTTCCTCCTGGCATGTCCTGCAAGATGCTCATCTCTAACATTTGCATATGACACTGTAAATCCGTATGCCGTTTTCTAACATCAGCTGTATCAATACTGGTCTGTTATGTCATTATCTGTTAGTTAACCAGTTAACTATATAGTATCATTTCTGTCAGTGTTGGGAATTTCAGATAAACAATGTAGTCTTGTGGTGAAGTTTTATTTTTTCCCCATGTTTGTAACAAGATTTATTAAAATAACTTAGTCTTGTTTGTGCCAGAGAAAATTGGAAATAAGAATGAAGACATGAAATTTATTTGAAGTTTAAGAATATCTGGTTTTACAAAGCATTTTTCTTTTGTAAAGAGTTTTTAAATATATCGCAATTTTCTAAGACCATGAAGAAACATCATTTCTGTAGAACTTTATAACAGAGAACTGTGAGACTTGAGTAATGTAAAGACGGAGGAAAATTTTGAATAAAATATTTTTCTCTTTCAGAGAATTTAACATCAAGATAGATTTCCAAGGATATTATACTCATAATTGAATATTGTTATTTAAAGCAGTGGAAAAGTATATTTATTTTTAAATATTCCCTCCCCCCAAAGCCTTGACCTGTAACGAAAAAAGAAAAGTGAAAACAAAATCCAAAGGAATAGCAAACCGTTTAAGAGCACATATTGGTATTTATAAAAGAATATCAACAACCAAGATCTTTTAGATGGACTCTAAAGAGTGTGAATGTGTGTGTGCGTGAGAGAGAGTGAGCCATACTCCCTCCTGTTCCACAGAGGACTCTAGTGTGATGCCTCCATCTTGCCTGTGTTTGCTTTGTAGTCAAGGTTTCATACCTTGATGTTTATAATTTTTCTGTTTATCATCCATTTCTAATAAGTACTGATTTAATTTTTGTGGGCCTGTTTTTTTTTTTGTTTGTTTGTTTTTAAGAAAATACAAAAGGTAAAATGTACCAGAGAGGAGCCTTCTTGTAAGTATGAAGTAAAAATACTACTTTTGTAAGAGGTGCTAATGTTTATCAATGGGAAAATATCATAACATTTAGATAACTATTGAATTTTATGAGCACTTTAATTTTATATGTCACTGCAGTTCTAAGAGGGTAAAAACAATCAATTATTCATAGGCTCAAATCATTGATTTGGAGATATAGTATCCTGCTTTTAGAAGCCACCTCATTTTATTGGTATAAATGATGTTGGTTTGTTATAAATATATTTTTAAATATTGAGAAATTCCTTGTATATGTACCCTTTTAATATTTATTAAAATAATTTAGGGCCAATAATTTAAGATCTACTCATAAAAAGTGAGTATTACATACATATTAAGGTAACACCCACATACCTAGAATATTATCCTGGTGCTAAAATGCAGGGAATATAAAATATCTGTCTATTATGTCTTTCAAAAGGGAATGTTACCTTATATGTGTAGAAAGTGTGCCCTGAAGGTTAAATAAGCGTGCAAATGCCCAACATTACTTGGAAGCATTGAGGTTGTATAAGGAAAAAAGATAAAATGTCTTGTTTTCAAAGCTCATTGTATTAAGCCTAAAAATACACAGATTCCTATGTATCACATTAAATCAACATTTCTACTTTACTGTTTTTACAGCCTTTTGATCAAGGAAGAATTCAGAAAGTTTTCCATGCTATATGCAACCGACTTCACACACTTAACCGATTCTCTTCTAAAGCTGCTAAATACTGACGAGAAATATCTAACTATGATCACTCTTACTATGATTTTTGTTGAAACTATATGGTAGAGTGTCCTGTTCTGTTGGCTGATTAAAAGCTTGTTAGATGTGTTGTAAAGATGGCCAGATGATGCAGTCTCCAAAATTGTGTGCTGGTGTATTCTAGTTCCAACAGAATATGCTATAGTCCTGTTAGCTCTAGTACTGAATGCTGGGAGTTCTCCATTATTTTTATTCCCAAATAAGGCAATTCAAGGAATATAAATAGACTCCTTAACAATGTTTGATCTAAATGGTTTTTGGAAAAGAAAAATCTCTATTTCTCACCTTTATTTCTATTTTATACCCCAAAATATCATCTCACTTTTCCAGATTGATATTGAAAGTGAGGAAACTTACATATATTTTTTTAAATTGAAAATATCTTGAAATCCCGAAGAGGAGTTTTGACTTTTAAAATGAGACAGCCATCTTAGTTTCCTAAAACCAATCACCACTTTTAACATTTATCTGTGCAAGACTGACAACTAAAAATAATTTGTTATCATGTGTGTTAATTAGAAGCAGATATAAGATCTGAAATAACAGTACAGATTCATGCTAAGGAAATATTAACAGATTGTTAATGTCAGAAACCACATAATCCTCTAGGGGTACATGTTCATATATTTGTGTGTGTATAATTCAGAAAGGAATTAGTAATATCTGTCTCTTGTCTTTACTCTTACTTTTCTAATGAGGGTCACTTTAACCTACAGGCTGGTCACCCTCCCTAACCCCTTTGCTAATGAGTGGTGGTCCTGCCCCCCTGGCTGGCAGGCCCACCCTTCTTCAGCAAGCTGCTGCCCAGGGAAATGTCACTTTATTATCAATGCTGCTTAATGAAGAAGGACTGGACATTAATTACTCCTGTGAAGATGGCCATTCTGCCTTGTATTCTGCTGCTAAGAATGGACATACAGGTAAGAAAAAAAAAAAAGGCAAATTCTTATCATAGTACACACTTGCAAAAGAATGGAAAGTCAAAAATATTTGTAATCATTGTTAGGAGCAAAAGGTTCATTTGGTTTGCAATTTTCTCTACAAGTAGCAGCAGATAATTTTTTTTCTCCATGAGATTTTGTTTTTATAAACATTAAAAAGTCAAATTATAGAGTTCCATAATGCAAGTTTTACATGCTGCTGGTAAAAAGTAATTTTTGTCTATGCCCAATAAAATATGCTTATAGAAAGTTGGGGTCTATGCCCTGTAAAAACCCTCCATCTGTAATCTCTTTGTTCAATTCAAAAATAGCCCTAATTTGTGTTTAGAAATACCTGGTGTGGGAGGAAGACAAAGCCTCCAGGCTTTACCACATGTTGGAGGGAGGGAGTCTTGGTAGATAGGAAAGGTCATGGCTCTGAAATTGTTCTGTAGTTGAAACAACTTACAGTTTTGTGAATTTTTTTAAAGAACTGAAAAGTTATATAACTATCAATGACATATCAGTGAAGATTGGGGCTTATTTTTGTTCTTTAAAATGCAAATTCTGTAGTCAACGATACTAAAACATATGGTAGTGCAGAAAAAGATTTAACTGCAGATGCAAAGTCAATAGCATTGCATATGTGAGCCATATGATCGTCAATTAGTTCAGATAGATGGAAGGGTCCATGAGCTATGATAGCTCATTATTTTTAAAGTATTTTGGCACTTTACTTCAAAAGCACTGTGGAGATTTTCTTCAATGCTCTTTAGAGAAATTAAATCTAGTAAATAACACAAAGAATGTGAGGTCTATGTATATTTCTGTCTGAGATGACTTTCTGTGGACTTTCTCTCCTATATCCTCATTCATGGAATTAAGTGTAGGATGGCCATGCTATAAACACATTTTAATAATTAGATTAAACATCATGAAGTAAAAATTTAACTATTTAAATGCAAGGAATTGTATTTCAATTTGCTAAGTGAATTTGGTTCTCCAAAAGTATGTTTTCTGAAATAGGCGGGTGGAAAAATCTGGTAAAGCATTTTCTGGCACATGATATTCCGTTTGCTCACCAACGGTTCTTCCCTAAGTGCTGGAAAAAAAAGAAAATCATGTTTTAGTTAGTGAGTCTGGGGAATTATAATCTTTGGGAAAAGGCGCTGCTTTCTCTGTTAAATAGCCTGTGGAGTCTCAAAATCTGATGGAATTGTCTGAGTATACAAGGGAGATATCTTTTGCATTTAGACTCTGTCTACAGCTTCCGTAGAATTTGGCTCAGCATAACTCTAACGAGGGAATTAAAAAGGCTTTCTATTGAAAATCTGTAGACTGTGTGAGATTGCTGCTGAATGCAGAAGCCCAAGTCAATGCTGCTGATAAAAATGGCTTCACACCCTTGTGTGCTGCAGCTGCTCAGGGACATTTCAAGTAAGTAGAGCTCTTCTTTTTTTTAAATTTTCTATGAAAAAGAGTCTTTTTTAAAAAAATAATATGCACACATATTTTAGTTTTGGCTCCATGTGTAAACTAGTGCTTAAAATCCAGTGGCAGGACCAGCAGATGGCATAATGGTTACGTCGTTGGACTCCCACGTAGTTGACTGAGGTTCAAGTCCCAGACCCAGTGGCTTAAAACTCTTGCCGGGTTCATGCGTGTGCGCATATGTGCCCAAGATCTTGAGAGGAGAATGAAGGAAAAGGGATTGCAGTGTGGCCATCCCCCTTGGGTGTGATTTCTCACTTTCTGTCTCTCCTGCAAGTGCACGCACCCTATAGCAAGTAAATTAACTAAACAGGCCCAACCTGTTGGTGAAGTCAGTAACTACAGTGCTGGAAACCGTGTGGCTGACTATGAGTTCAGATCACCGAATCAGTAGAAAATATACTAGGTGCACACTCAAGATCCTGAGAAGCAAGAGGGTCAGAGAGAGGATTGCAGTCTGATGAGACCTTGTAGAGGGTGCCTCTCTCTCTGCCTGTTCTTTTTCTTCCACCCCTACATCCTATACACGCACTCTCTGTCAAGAATAAAATAAACTAAAAAGAAGAGTTTGCTAAGGATTGGCTCTATAACCTAGTGGTTAAGGGAGCTGTATTCCATATAGCCAACTATGTTTAAGTCCTAGCCACAGCAGTTTGAAAGATGCTTTGGGCATGCATGTGCCTGCATGCGCCAGATTTCAACAGGACGGGGAAGTGGAGAAGTAATTGTGCCATGGCCACACCCTACTGGAGTGTGCCTTCTTTCTGTCTCTCTCTCTCTGAAAAACGCACCTGACCTCTGGCGATTAAAAAGTCCACTAAACGTATTTAATATTTAAATGCAAAGTAGGATCCTAAATTTGTCCTTCTTAAATAATAATTAAGTAGTTTTATATGAGGGAATTAAGAGAAATTTGTAGTGTCCAAACCTCACGTGAATGTGCTTGCTTCTGAAGAAGGTAATCTATAGCATATCAACACACACACGGGGAGATAACAGACCCTTAAGAATAGATACAAAAAGTGTGGCACGTATACTCTATGGACTACTGTTCAGCCATAATAAACAATAAGACTCTGGCATTTGTTAGAAAGTGGTAGAATATGGAAGATTTATTTCTAAGTGAAGCAAGCCAGGCTATGAAAGAAAGATATTATGTGTCTCCACTTAATATGTACCAACTGTCCGCACTCCATGGTAGAGACTGAAATACTGGAGGATATAAAAGCAGTGAAAATAGTTATGGATGCTAGAGACAGTGTGGAAGGAAGGTGGGATAAGGGAAGAGTATGGGGATAGAAATCAAGGAGAAAAAAGAAAAGCTAGACATTTGTGGGACACAGAAATGGTTTATTACTTATTGATGATAACGTGTATCAGTGTATAGTATTCTCATCTGGACTGATCTGAGATGTATTTCATGTTAGGTTTATTCTCTTTACAAGCCAAATAATGTGTAGCAATTAAATGTTTAAAAAAATAAGAATAATAAAAATTTTAAAAATCTGTTGTTCACTATTTTCTACCATTCCAACCCCTAAAAAGCTTTTTTTTTTTTACTTATTATGCCATTAAAACAGAATTATATTTTTTTAATAATCTTAACTTCCTTGTGACAATTTATTTAGTATTAAAGTCCAATTATTTTCTTGGTACACCATTATAAAATTTAATCAGAAATTTTACTTACTGAAATCATTGTAGTCCAAGCATAAAACCAAAGAGCACCTATTAATTCAAATACATAACTAGCATGATTTCTTTAGTAGCTTGCTAAGTCAAATACAGGCATGACTTTTTAAAAGTTAAAAGTCATATTTAGTATAGAAACTAGCTAACTTGTTTCTCTGCTTGTGCTGAAATGGCAGGTGATAGGAAATGAGCTGTTTCCAACTTTTTAACTAATTTATTGTGTCATCAGAAAAATCATGATGCATTTTTGCATAGAAAACATAGAAAAATACATCATGACTTTTCTGATGATTAGAGTTGTCCTGGTAGAAATGTTCCTTAATAAATTACAGAAAATGAAAGGTTTCTATTTTTCAGTTTGGGGAATTGTTTTTGTTTTTAAATGCAGGATCTTACCATGTCAGGATCCTCCCACCTCAGCTTCCAGTGGAGACAGTAAGCTCGTCCATCACCATGCCTGGTGCTTCCAGACAAGGTCTCCCTGTGTTGCCTAAGTCAGCCATGAACTCCCTATTCTCCTGCCTTAGCTGGAATTTCAGGCACATGCTACCACACCTGGTCTTTAGATCACACGAGGAATTGAACCCAGGTCTCCCATGTGGTCCTGCCTGCAAAGTCTAGCAGTACCTGCCACTACAACTGGGCCAAAATATGGGTTTTAAGGTTCACATCAATGTTATTCATCATAAATGTAAATTTAAAATTCAAGTGCATCCTTAATGCATAGCATTATTTAATTTTTGCTGCATGTCCAACTCATATTTCATTATCCCAAGCTTGTCATCAAGAATCACAGACACTGTTTTTGCTGTTTCTTTTTGGCTGTATCCTGAGTCCTCCAGAAGGGATTTCTCCTGCTGGGCTTTGTTTACCTTTCCCTGTCACCAAGCAACCTATAAGGCCATTTGGTTAAAAAGTATAGTTCACAAAAATGGAGGCATGGATAGCTTTTTTTAAATGGAAGAACCTTGTGGAAATCCAGGGATCAATTAATATAAATGTGTATGATACCCACATAGGTCACATAACTTATTTTTAATATATATAAAATTTAAAAAGTACTGCCAAAGAAACCAAAGAAACATGCATCTGAGTAAACAAAAGAAGAAATAAGACAATGAAATGAATGGCTTCTTTTTTTTTGAGAGAGAGATTTTTGTTATGGGTATGTAAGCTTGGCGGAGAGACTGAGATATTCTCCTCTTGGGATTTTAAGCATGCACGCACATGCGCCCGATGTGAGTTTCAAGCAGCCGAGTCTAGGACTCGAATATGTGGGAGTATGGGAGTCCAGTGACGTAACCATTATGCCATCTGCTGGTAACTAAATGGCTTCTTAATTTGAGTATGATTTAGCCCTCCTTTCTAAGTTTATTCTCAACTAATTTTAAAAACTCAAGATCTGGGTGTTTAGTGACACAAAGTCTTGAATTTACCTCATGTTTTCCCCTTCTCAGGGCAGTGAGTTTCTGCTTAGTTGTCTTTTCTGATAACGTAGCCCCAATTCAGGAGACAGGACAATCTCCGTAGTCTTTTCTCCCCACAGCAGCCTTCTTCTCTGCCTCCACTGCCTTTTGTAGAGGAGGCACATGGTACCCTGCTGTCTACGCTATTTATAATTATTTCCTCAAGTGAAAAATCTCAGAATGACTCAGCAGCCTGACTTTTTTCAAAGTTCAAACTATTGAGTCCACATATTTTTCTATTTTTCTATGCAAAAATGCATCATGACTTTTCTGATGACCTAATATTTGGAACCACAGATAATACACACATCAAGTACAGTCAAACCATTCATTCCAATAAGTTAAACCTACTCCAAGGATTCCACTTTCACAAGTTGGTTACAGAGAAGTGTCATAATAGGTTTTAGCCTATGATTAAAATATGTTTTCTTCCCTAGTGAAAAAATAAAGTCCTTATGAGATCCTCAATAATTGGTATATCAAAATGAATGTAACTGATGTCTATAAAGAGGCAGAATTTCTCTACCTTTATTTAATGTCTTAGATGCTGGTGCTAAGGGCTTAACCCACTTTTTATGTAACTAATCATGGTGTTGGGTTTAGGTGTGTCGAATTATTAATTGCATATGATGCTAACATTAACCATGCTGCTGAAGGAGGACAGACACCTCTCTACCTGGCCTGTAAAAATGGAAATAAAGAATGTATTAAACTCTTGTTGGAAGCTGGAACTGACCGAAGTATAGAAACCAGAGTACGTATCAGTTCTTCTCATTTTTCTTTCTCTAGATGTGTAATTTGTAATGCGTCTGCAAGCTCTGCAGCTAGCAACACAATACAGTAAAATAGGGGCTGCTTGTTTTTAAGATATTGGATTTGGAAAGTGTCTGACCTCTGTTTGAGTCTCCTCCCTGCTAATTAAAAGCCTTGTCTATTAGCCTAACTAGTACTTCAAATGGGCTTCCGATTATTTCTTTGTAAAACAAGAAAATGATTACTTTGTCCTATTTTCAGAATTAGTGGAATAAATGGAGGTATAAGTTTTTATTCATTTGACAAATAGTAATCTTAGCTGCTCGATTGTCCTACTTAGTTTCCCCCAAGAGAACCAACAGCAGTAATATAAGCTAGGTATCAACATTCTCCATTGGATCTTACTAGAGTTTTAAAAAAAAAATTACATATTTTTTAAAATCTGAAAAAATGTTCAGTTTTACATTTCTTCACATTTTATATATTTTTGTCTAAAAGATCTGTGGTATTATTACATGTATTCATTACAAAACTCTACCATACAGATGAAAAATAAGTGAACTTGACATCATCAATCTGAATTAAAAATAAGTAGTACAATATAAAATTGTAAGTCTGATTTTTATATAAGTTACAGAACACAGAAATCCATGCTCTCAGCTTGTCCTTGATGAGCTGAACAAAATCTTTAGAAGTACAGATGCTCAAAAGTACAGAGATTAACAGCACAATTGATGGATTTTAAGGGAGTAATTAGTTATGTCTTGTGCCTTTTAATAAGCCAGTATCAAAGGAGAGTAGAAAATTGAAAGTTTTTCAGGAACTACTGAGTGACCTTTATAATGTAAATTAGGGAATGTCAAAAGCACTTATTCTCTAATGCCTTTGTAAGCCCAGCAAAGAATAAGCCATGAAACTGATTAGAGCCTGAGGACTAAGTTCAGCATTCCAGTTATTTCCCAGCTCTGGGCTTGACTTTACTGGTTTGAGGTACACACCTAAGGAAAAAGCCACTTGATAAGAAAACAAGCTATAACAAATGATCAGATGACTTAGCCTAAATTTTTATTGTTTTCATTTATTGTTTTTCTTTCTGTCATCTACCCCATTATTTTTTTAAAAAAGTGTTTTAGCTCACTGAAACATATTTAGCTAGCAGTATGAAATGCTGTATGAAAAAATTAATGTTAAAGAAGAAATAAAGGTAGAAAAAGAAAATAAAGCCACTATGCAAATCACCAAAATAAGACCTAGTTCTTTTTGTGAAAAAAATTGAGAAGCTAATGAAGATCAGTGTTTGAGTAGAGGGCAAGTTTATTTCTATATCAAGATGAGAGACTACATAGGGGCCAGCATGTAGCTCAGCAGTTAAACACCTAACTTTGCAAGGCCATCCCACAGGAGAAGGTTCTTGGTTCAAGTCCAGAAATCTCCCTAAGTACCCTGGGCATACACATCCCCTTGATCTAGGACTAGCTGAAGCTGAAGGTGGATTACGGCATCAGAATCTTGCTGTTTCCTTCCCTCTCAGTCATGGGAGAAGTGAAGAAATAAACTTAAAGATGAGGGTTGTTTTTAAAAAAATGGGGGGCTATAGGTAGAACCAAGATTTTCCTTAGAACAGTGCTTGTCAAACTAAAATGCATCAGAATCACTTGGAAGACATGTTAAAACAGATTAGTAGACCCCAACCCTAGAGTTTAATTCAGTAGAGCTGGGGTGAATTTTAGGAATCTTTAGGATCTTTCCTTCTATAATGATTGGCATACAATGTTAAGATCACTAGGTCAGTACACTGCTTAATAAGTAAAACTGGCCTTTAACATTCTTTTAGTACATTACTAATAACATTTTTGCATATAAATTTTTACAAGAAATCTCTTTAGACTAACGATCATTCTCATATCATAATGCATAGCGTTGTACTGTGATTTTGGTTTACCATTCATAATGCTCAGTTGACAGGTCTGGGAAGTACCCACATACTCCAAATGGTTAACTAGTAGGTGGAAATGATCACAAAATAGCAAACATGAGTCCAGGCAATGAGAAATACAGTGATTGACAGAAGTCTCAGAATGTGACTCAGTTTATCAGTGATATTAAGATCAGAATGCCTGCCTTCCCCAGCTCAGTGGTCAATGCCCAAGAACATTTAGAGGGGAACTTTAAATAATACTGTTCTCAATATTAATGCTGTTGTCAACCCTTTCCCCCGGTCATTTTATTTTCAGGATGGCTGGACACCAGTTCATGCAGCTGTGGACACTGGTAATGTGGACAGCCTCAAGCTTCTTATGTACCATAGAGCACCAGCTCGTGGAAATTCTTTGAATGAAGAGGAGCTCAAATCCGGCATCTCAGTCATGGATGGAGAAGAGGATCGTGCACGCACATCCGAGCCTGTTGTTTCTGCAGACCTCATTAACCACGCTGACAGGGAAGGCTGGACAGCTGCCCACATTGCTGCTTCCAAAGGTTTTAAGGTATGTCTGGTAGCAGCTGGCCTTATCATGCCTTTGTAATTGATGAGTGGCAAAGTTGTCTGCTATTGATTGACCGCGTTTAAATTGAGTAATTGGAGGCTGAGTGATACACTTGTGGGAGATGATTAGCTACCAGTACAAACTGGTATTTTCCCTACCCAGCAGATATTTATGCTCAAGGATATAAAAGATTATTAATGAAAATCATTGTAGTTGGAGTTTGTTAATAAGACACATGAGAGTAATTTCAAACATTTTATCTTACTAACAGTAGGAGAACGGCTTGGTATTGATGTAGCCCATTGGATTGTTCATTTCACTACCAGGTCCACACTCCTAGTTACAGGCAGGGCCAGGATTCTCACCGTATGCAGAGTCACGCTCTCACTGTGAATTTTCAGTTGCCAAATTTATATCCTCCATGTGCTCTCTCACTGATATGCAAGAGAGAGCTCCAGATTTCACTGAGAAGATAGAGTACAAAAAGATTCTGAGCTGAATGCATGCTTTGAAAATCCATATTGTACTCCACAAAAATATACAACAATTAGATGGTTATAAAAAGTGATAAAAAATTAAAACTCAAAAAGATCCTGATTATTAAAGAAATAGCACAGCTTAGTAGGCTATCCACTCCTACGTTTTGTTTAAATCACTGTAGTTATAATATGTTTTAGCAATAATAAGCAAATAGGAAACTCCCACATGCAAGGCACCGTGCATGCTAACATTTGTAGGGAGAATTTCTGCCATTAGTCCGTGGCTAGTGTGCAGGGTATGGGACAGGCGTCGGGTGACTCTAGGAGAAGCACAAAATATGAACACAGGGTAATAGGCGTGTGGTTGGGAAAGTGTAAAACTGCAGTAATTGTGGAAAAAAGAAAGAGAATGTACATATTTCAAAGGGCAGAGTTGGACTCAGGAATGACTCATCCTAGAATAGATGGGAATAATTTGGGGCTTTGTAGGGTGGGATAAAGTTGCCACTCACCAGTGGTAAGAGGAGACGAATTCAGTCAAAAGGAGCAGTAGGAACAGAAACAGGGAAGGATGGCAGTGGTAACAGCTCCAAGGGACCCAGTGAAGAGTAGAGAAAAGGATCAGGTGGCAGTTTCATAATAGGGCATAAGGCCGTCAATGACGTATTAGGGGTTTGGTCTTAACTTGCTAGTCAAAGAAAAGCCTTTGATAGTTTTCATTCAAAAGAGGAAAATAATCAGTGTTCCAGTTTAGACAGATCAATTTAGCAGACACATTTAGATCTGAGATTATGAAATAACCAAGGAGAGAGATGAAGTGGAAGACGATGAACTCAGTGGAGATAATGACATATTAGATATGTCCAAGGACTGAACACGTATTAGATATAGGAAATGAGAGAGTAGATGAGAAAAATAACAGTGACATTCCAGAAATGAAAAAGGCGTCAGTGTGATCAAGAAGACAGTGGTTTTAGGCATGCTGAATTCAAGTGCTGTGATTGTTCATCTCCAGGGAGCTGGCTAGAGACATGTACTTGGAGCTCCTGACTACGTAACTTCCTGTTATTATGATCTATACTAACGCTGTTCATTCTGGACTTGAGTCAAGTGAGAAGACATGATTTAATTCAACATACAGGCATTGTTTGCTAGTAGGAGTGTTTTTTTCTACTTTGCCGTTAACGAAAAAATGATAAAAATTCTGGGAACTTTCTATACAATTACACACACACACACACACACACACACATACACACGTATGTATGTATTCATTTCAATGGAATGCAATAGCATTTGACATAAAATACTGTAGGAGACAAATATGCAAAATATAGATGGTTTTAATTTGAAAACATATAGCTAATCTAGAAGAGTGAGTCTCATTTGATGGTGGAGAGCTGCTTAAAAAGGATAGTTTGCAACCTACCTCTACCTCCTAAAATCTCTGAGTGTAATATGAGATGGTAAAGGTAGTAGTGAGTTGTGCATGCACTCAACTTGGAGGCAAAAAAATAAAAAAATAAACAAAAACAAAACCTGGAACAGCCGTTCTCGAGGATGATTGGCTTCTGAACCTTTCTTTATTGCTAGGCAGAGAGAAAAGGCCACTCCCCAGGGAGAGCTGCTTCAGCGTAGGGAGATTCTGTTATTGCTTAGCTCCCTACATATGAACTTTTTATTGGTCCTGGCATTTTTATGATCAAAGATGGTATCTCTGATGATTTCCGAGTCCCTGGCAAGCAGTGGATGCTCTGTCACTGTAGAGTAAGGAGAAATATGGCTTCTTTTTCTCTTAGAATGACTCTCCTATATTCTCTTTTCCTATCTAAAATTTATCTTATTTTTGTTAGAGAATATAGGGATTTTCAAAAAGTGAACATGACTGGGACCAGCAGTTAGTGTAATGACTATATCACTGAACTCCCACGTAGTCGACCGTGGTTCAAGTCCCAGACCTAGTGGCTTAACTCACGCCGGCGCATGTGTATGCGTGTCCAAGATCCTGAGAAGAGAATGGAGGAGAAGGGATTGCGGCGTGGCCATACCCCTGGGGGGTGATTTCTCGCTTTCTATCTTTCTGTCTCTCTCTGTCTTTCTGGCGAGCTCACACACCCTATAGCAAACCACCACCACCCCCCCAAAAAAGTGAACATGATTGACAATATTCACATACTACTAAGCTGTAAACATAATAACTTTTTTAAACCTTGGAATTGATATTGATTGAATCTGCTAGTCTAACCTCTTCATTTTGTAATTAGGACATTTAAACCCCATAATCCTTTGAAGTTGAGAGTGAAGCTCAGAATGCCTGATCCTGTTACTCTTTTAATTCTATCAGGAAAACTTTCTTCCCAGTCAAAGGTATTGAAAAATATACTAGCATCATTTGCCTAAGTTGATAAGTTGCTAAGGCCAGTTTTCGGAAGAAAATAATTAATTAGTTAATCATTGTGTTGACCAAGATATTCTACATGGACCACAGGTCCATTAACTCTGCAACAGCATATGTGTTCAACCTATAGAAGGTGGTCGTATCCTTGTTACCCAAGAAAAAAGGGTGTTCACCTGGTTTTTGATACAGAACTATGGAATTTCAGAGTGCCAAGGGACTTAACTCATCCAGTCCAATCCTCTCATACTGTAGGTAAAGATACTAAGTCTTGAGAAATGAGGTAACTAATTCCACAGTGTCCGTTCACTGAAGATCAGATTCCCAAATCACTGCTTTCAGTTCTTATTTTCTCAATAGTTAGAAGTTTATGCACATCACCGTCTAATATATGATAATAGCTGTATGTCTCTAAAGCTGGCCTATCACTGCAGAGACTACTGAACTAAGAATACGTCTTCCATTTCATCACTTCATGTGAACAGGAAGAATACTTTCATGAAACTGTTCTGTCATGAGACCATTGACAGGTCAGTTTCCTGTCATGGAAACAAATAAGGAAAATAATTTGGATCTGAGTATCTGTTGTCAAAGCTCATATATCCATATATTTTTTGGAGGGGAGCCACATGGGATATTGACTACAGGACTAGGTTGTACATCTAGCTTTTATCTTGCCAGAGTCAGCGGCTTCCCCTCACACATTCATTCCATCTCTATGGGTTAACGTGTTGATTATCCAATAAAAACCCCTCCCTCAACAGCTTACAAAATGTTGCCTCTGGAGCCAGCAGATGGCGTAATGGTTGGGTCGCTGGACTCCCACATGGCCAACAGTGTTTCAAGTACTGGACTCAGCAACTTCAACCTCATGCAGGGCACATGTGTACACATGCCCAAAATGCTGAGATGAGACTGGAGAAGGAATTATAGCATGGCCCCCCTGAGGGTAGAGGGGTGCTTTCTTGCTTTCTCTTTATCTCTCTCTCTCTCTCTCTCTGTCTCTCCAGCGAGCATGTGCCATATAGCAAAAATCTCTCTTAAAAAAAATGTTGCCTCTCCCTTGCTTCCTCTTTAACTTGGCTTTGTATTTGTTTTTCTGCCTTTTTTTTTTTTTTACACTAAGCAACTCCCAAGCTCTGTTCTCAACTGCCTACACTTACTTTAAGAACTCATCCAGTCTTTCAGCTTTAACTCTGGCTTCTATAATAACTAGTCTCTAGCCCATATCTCCACACATAGCTTTATATGTGTCTTCTATCAACTATTTTCAGGACCCTAGAGGTTATTCCTAGGAAGACTCACTGTTCCCTAGTCAGACAGTGACCCCCTTATTCATCTGTAGGCTGTTCTTGCATGTGTTAAAATCATGGTCTGCCTGATGCGTGGTTAGCTTTTAGCCATGTGAGAGTCAGGTATTTCCTCTCACATGAGGTGGCCATTGCAGTCCTCCAGGCAGTCTGGTCAAGGTGTATAGTACACAAAGGTCCACATGGGGCCCAAAGACAGGAATTCTTCCTCTCTAGGTCTTAATTGCAAAGGGATTAAAATAGGAGTCAGTAAAATGTTTCCTTTATCACACAGAGTTGGGTCACAGGTTTAGAGAAGTTATCAATATATAATAGGTGTCTGTAAAGGCACCATCCTTAAAACAAAATGTTAATCACGGTAAATACAAATCTCTTCTTTAAACTCTGTTTTAGTGCTTTTGACTCCCTGTGATACCTTGGTTTCCTTAATTCTTAGTAATTTTTTTTAAATGCCAGAATGTGTGTAAACAAAAGGAAGGGTATTTTTTAATACTTGTTTTACTGAAGAATATTGAATCCTTGCTTACTTTTTGGAGCAGCAGTGACTACTGGTAGAACTTGACATGGAGTGTAAACTTAGCCAATCAGAATTTTACTCTACCCCTTACTCAACATATTGACCTTCTGGTGTTTTCTCACTAACTCCCTTCACGAATCTGAATTTCTACCCCTTTTCTTCTCTTACTCTGTACTTTCTCCCTTGAGCTATCTTGTTGACCTGTAGAATATGATTGATAGAGATTCCAGACTTTATTACTAGCCAAACTTAAGTATTTCCTGAGTCTGTCGGGAAGGTCCTTTCCAGAAAGTTTATAG